AGGGACCTCTGGCTGACTAGATTTACCAGAAGGGCAGACAGGGGGAATGGATGAGGGTGCTGACAACACAGTGGACAGTGACAGGGATGGCAGAGTATGGAGCCTCTAGTGGGAGAGGAAGGCTGTCTATCTGACGAGTTTGTATTCATGCTCAGATGCCGAGGAGCTCAGAAGGTGGGCGGCTGTGACCAGTGATAGTCATGTATATAGAGATTAGAAGTGCATGTGAAAACGTCTCAATGTCAATTGCCTTGGAATGAATTCTTCTGTATGAAAAAACAAAACAAAACAAGTATCTTCTTGAAGTCCCTCAAATTAAGGTAAGAACAAATAACAAATCATTCTGGAAGAATGCAAAGGCAAATAGCTTTAGATATTTGACAATTGAATTTATTCTCATAATTGTTTTAATAGCTTTTGTATAATCTTCATCGCTATTATGAAATATGAAAATCAAATCTGATAAAATCAAAAATCAAAAAAAATCAAAAAAAATTTTTTATTATCTTTCTTTTATGTATATGAGTGTATTGCCTCGATGTAAGTGTGTCTGTGTCATGCAATGCCCCTGGAGGTCAGAAGAAGGTGTTGGTGGAACTGGATGTAACATTTTGTATATTGTTAAAACTGTAACTTTAATTGTAAATAAAAAAATTTAAAATCAAAAAAAATCAAAAAAAATTTTTTATTATCTTTCTTTTATGTATATGAGTGTATTGCCTCGATGTAAGTGTGTCTGTGTCATGCAATGCCCCTGGAGGTCAGAAGAAGGTGTTGGATTCCCCTGGAACTGGAGTTATGGATGGTGGTGAGCTGCCACGTGGGTACTGGGAATCAAACCTGGGTTCTCTGCAAGAGCAGCCGGTACTCTTAACCACTAAGCTATCTCCAACCCCCAAAGATTTTTTTACTTACATTACTTACATTTCTCACTTTGAAGAGAATGGTAATAAACATTTGCTTAAAAAAAAAAAAAAAACCTACATCACACCATTAGGTTAAATATAAGATAGCATTGAATTGATTTAATATCATTTGTCAGATTAAAAAAAAAATTGATCATTGTTGGAACTGGAGTGATGGCTCAGTGGTTAAAAGCACTGGCTGTTCTTCCAGGGGAACCAGGTTCGATTCCCAGCATCCACATGGCAGGTAACAACGTCTGTAATTCCAGTTCCAGGGATCCAGTGGCCTCTTCTGGCCTCTACAGGCTTTGCATGAAACAGGTGCACTTACATCCATGCAGGCAAAACAGTCATACCCATAAATTGAAAATAAATAAAATGTGTTCATTGAAAATAATCCATTGTAAGTTAAGGTAATTTAAAATTATCAATTTCTTTACCATTTATAAATTAAATTTACTTGCCTTTCACAATTCTGCACACACGGCCACAGAAATCTTTATCAGTAAAGTCCACAGTAACCTCGAAAGCAGAGGCCACACAGTGACTTCTCAAGCTAGGGACTAAACAGCTGCCTTCTGGCCGCCTTCTATAGGCAGCAACTCCACTTCTAGCTTTTATCAAAACACTGCCTGACTTTTTTTTCTGTGTCTGCAACTTTCTTAGTTTCCTTTTCTGAATGAGATGTTTATTTTTTGAAAGAGTCTATTTGCTTTCAAAAACTTTGGAGATAAAACTGATTTTAGTGTTTCAACTGGACAGATGGAGCCCAAACAGATTACTATTTCATGTGTAGATTTTATTCACGTGCTGGATGGAGACAAAAACAGTGTTATGGTTCATGGGTTTGATGCTGACAGGAAAACAGTTACTTTGCTAATGTTAACACCAAGTAGACTGAATTATAAAATGCTCATACATGATTTCGTGGATTTAAAGCAACAATACAGCTGTGTTTGGTCACTTTTGAGCATGAACTGCTATTAGACTCTAAAGCTTCACACAATAGGTTGTCTTAGCTCTATTCTGATTGGAACACCTTATAATTTTCAAAATGCACAATTTTTAAAAATGTCACTTGCTGCTCAAAAAATCTTATAAATTCGCTATATTTATGATATAAAATTACTTCAAGGATAATGAGATAAAAAGTATAACCATAGCCTGGAAAGTGACAATTTTTCATATATATACACTCTCATCGCAGTAATGCCAAGATATGAAAAGTAACTTGACACATTAGAATTTTACAAAATGATAGTCATTGGATACCCACATAGAATTAGACAAACTGCCCATGAATTGCTAAATGGATTGTGATATTTACATAACAGAATATTACTTCATGATAAAAATCAATGAACCATAGCTTAATTCATCTGGGTAGAGAATTTTAAAGTGCCCAAGCACAAGAACTAGGTTATGTGGCATGATGACTCCAGTTATATAAACCGAAGAAGTGTCAAAACTTAAACAGGCCAAACTGTAAAGAGGGAAATGATGTAAACAGGAAATTTGGGATAGCGGTTCCATCTGGGGTTTGGTCAGGTTTTGCCATTCATGCTAAACTGTGACAAGGGCATCTAAATGCCACAGGAAGGCAGGCTCTCCTGCAGAAGTTGAAGAAGCAGAAGAGGAGACATCCAAGGAAGGAAGTTGTAAAGTTGAAGGAGACAAGATGGAAGGCACAGCTGACACTAGCCTATGAAAGGACACCGTTCTAAATCATGGGTGAGGACAGGCAAACACGTGAAGACACAAGATGACCTTTAGACAGCTAGAGAACTGACCACAAATAAATGCAGGTGGCCATAGCATTTTTGCCTCCCCTCTGCCCAACCTCTAAAACTGCCCCCTTCCTTCACTTCAGGTCCTACATCTGCTGTGAAACTTTGTCTAATTATGCTACAGTAATATTTTCTTACTATTTGATCATCTATTTAAAATATTTTGTTATTTTTATTTTATGTGCATGAGTGCATTGTCTGCATGTAAGTAGGTGCATCTATGTTGTACAATTCCCAAAGAGGTCAGAAGAGGGCGTCAGATCCCCTGGAACTAGAGTTATAGATGGTTGTTAGCTGCCATGTGGGTGCTGGGATTCAAACTCTGGTCCTCTGTTAAGAGCAAGTGCTCTTAACTGCTGAGCCATTTCTCTAGTTCCCTCATTTATTTAGAGACAGAGTCTCACTATGTAGACCAGGCTGGCCTCCAGCTCACAATCCTTTTGCCTCAGCCACCACAGTGCTGGGATTACAGGTCTGCCACCATGCCAGGTCCTTTTCCTGTTGTCCCTGCTAAGTTCTGCAGCACCTGGCCCTACCACTTGCTTTTCTCTCGCACACTACTTAACTGTAACTACTTCGTGCTGTGCAAGGTTTAGATTTCACACATCCTTCCATTAGTAGTTGAGTTCAGAGATCATGTCTTTTTAACACCATCCCATTAAAAACAAAAACAGTGCACTGTTATGCACACAGTAACATTTAGAATGATTTTCTAGATATATTTACTAAACAAAACTTCTAAAATGATATAATAAATACATAAATACCTGTAGAACTTTTGAGTCTTCCATTTCTATAAATTGTTCCTGATTTTTCTTTGGGGGCTTTAAAAACAAGTGGAACAGGATCTCATATATCACAAGTTAACCTCAAATTTAATATGTAGCTAAAGATGACTTCTAACTCTTAACCCTCCCTCCTGCCTCCACGAGAACTGAACCCCTGCCAAGTAAGTACTCTGCCCAGCGAGCTACATTCCCAGCCTCCATTTTTGCTTTATACCTTACATTTGGGAAGGTAAGCCAAGAGCTGATATTAACATGTAATTGGTTTAATTTAAAACTTATAAAACAAATTGCTCCTTGCTCATTAAAACGAGGATATTTTTTTCATCGTTTCATTTAACATTTCTCTGTAAGGTAATTCTCCCGGAAAGTAAAGACGAATTACATCAGGCACGCCATCTTGTGGACAAGAGTAGCCCATGACACTTAGAACTCATTGACAGTCTTTAATTCAGAAATAACATTCAGTAAATTCAAACACAAATCATAGTTAAAATCTATTACTACACAGGAATGCAAACGAAGCATGGTCATTAACTTGTGTGGGTTTAGGTGTCCCAAAAAATGTTCACTAAAGAGATAAGTAGCAATAGACTTTAAATACAGAAAAGCTGCTATGACTATAATATACTCTTATTAAAATTAAATACTATTGATTTTGGAACACCCACTCTTGAAATCGGTAGTTTTATTTCCGGACCTATTACTTATTAGTTCTGCCAATTGTTATATCCTAGAGTTAAATATTGGCTTGATTTTCAAACATCATCAGCCTAACTATCAACATCTAAGAATAGCACAGGTCAACCAGCTCTCTTATCTGGACCGTGTGGGAAGCACATTAATTGTACTCCAAAATGGAGTCTGAAAGGTTGAAAATAATGGTCTCATCTTCACAACCTTACTGCTTCCTCTACACAGGTCAGCTGCCTCAAGCAGTCAACTCTTTGCTTGTTCATTAAACAAACAAATGGCGCGATGAGGTACTTAACAACTGGGCTTAAATATTTTAAGTGCCAACTTGAACACCAGACACCTTGTTCCGCTCAGGAGTGGGGTGAAGTAGAACTGGTGCATCCCTTTGGACAGGGCAAAGCACAGCAGCAGATCTGGTTCAGGCGCCCCGTTGCACTGTCTCTTCTGGGGCCCTGAGGTGGTACACTGCAGGATCATTTTAAGCCTTTCAGACCCAGACACCAAATTTCCAAGAGTTAACAGACACACATATAAACATTTACACAAAGCAAGATGCTGCTGCAGTCCACATTAACTTCTGGGATTCATCACTGCATGCGTACCACCAGGAAAATATTCTACCCAGACTTCCCTATGAACCGATTTTGGATCAGTTTTTCCATGTGACTCTTCAGGACGTTCACATCTGCTGCACACACGTGGTGTTCCATCTTCTCTTGCTGTTTGGTCCTCTCTAATAAAGCCTCATGAGGAGGTGGCAACGCATTGTATGAGCCCAGCAAGCAAAGCTGGCTTGACGAAGTCTGGTGGATTCCATTGATCTTTAAGGCCTGCATGACAGCAGGTGCGAACTTGGAGTAATGAGCAGGAGATGAGATGATCACTGGGCAGGTTTTGTCTTGCATTCTGTCCGCAACCGCTTTTGCAACAGCCGTGTGTGGATCCAGTATGTATCCTGCAGCATTGTAGGTAGCATTAATAGCCGACAGGCAGTCATCCTCGGAGCACCAGTCAGCTACCAAATCCTGCTGAAGTTTCTCAACTAGTATCTTTTCTATTTGGAAGTGAAGCTGATTTTCTAACTGATTAAATAATTTTGCCATTAACTGTCCATCTTTATTAGCCATCAAGTATAAATGCCGCTCCAGGTTTGAAGACTTGAGAATATCTATTGATGGTGAAAAGGTTTGTGCTAACTTCCTGTCCCTTAGATCATAATGTCCTGTTTTTATAAAGTCAGTCAAAACATGGTTCTGATTAGAGGCACAGATAAATTTTCGAATAGGGATTCCCATCATCTTGGCATACACTGCTGCTAATATGTTCCCAAAGTTCCCCGTGGGTATACAGACATCGACTGGGCTTCCAAAAGAGATAAATCCTTGGCTAACAAGATCGAGATACGCAGAAGCGTGATAAACTACCTGGGGCAGCAGGCGAGCCCAATTTATAGAATTAGCTGAGCTTAGGACCGTTCCATATTCCACAATCAGAAAGCCAGTAAAATCAGAATCTCTAAAAATTCTTTTTACGGCCGTCTGGCAAAAATCAAAATCTGACCTGACACCCACTGCCCATCCGTTTTCTCTCTGACTGCCAATTATTTGTGCTTTTTGAAAATCACTAAGCCCGTTCTCTGGAAAAAATGTGACTACAGCTATTCTTCGAGTGTCATTTTTATTAAGATGACTAAAACCATTCAAGACTGCACTCCCCGTGTCTCCTGAAGTAGCTACAAGGATCACATAATTACAGCTTGGTGGAATGCAGTGTGCAAAAATATGAGGCATAAGCTGCAAGGACAAGTCCTTAAAGGACCCTGTTGGCCCATGGAACAGCTCCAGGATGAACTGGTTTCCTGCAAGGTGCCTGACGGGGGCGATTTTGGAGCAGGCAAAGTTTTCCCCATAAGCAGTTTCAATCATTTCTCCAAGTCTGGCTGCTGGGATGTCTGCAGGATGTATGCATCTTTCCAACAGTATCTGGGCTCTTTCTATGTAGGTGGCTCCTACAAGGCTTCTCCACTCTCTGCAGCTCACTTTGGGAAACTCCTTCTCCGGAACAAAGAGTCCACCATCAGAAGCCAAGCCCTCAATCACAGCTTCACTAAAGAATTTTAAGGGAACCTTCTGTTCCAAGTCTTTGGTGCCAATGTGCCTTGTTGAAATGAATGTTTCAGAATCCACATCTTGGTATCTGTGAACCGCCTGGAGCACTCTGTCAGCTACCTCCTCTGGGGTGGCCCCACTTTCGCAGAACACCCGAGTATCATACCACTTCTTATAATGCTGCCTCCTGCATTTCAGTAGGTCTTTCATAGACACACCAGAAGTCTGGCCAACAAGCCTACCTAGTTTCATTGATTTCAGACGACTAATTATATCTATAAGAGGCACATCCAGATATACAATCACTCCATCTTTCTTGAGATGCCACATGCTGGCTTCGTGCATGGGATTGGACCCAGTGAGGGAGATCACACTTCCAGATGTGGACAAGCTTAACAGTGCTTTTCCTTCCTCCTCTAAAAACTGCTCATTACCAACATCCTGCAATTTTTCAGATGCACTCATATTCCAGATTTTTTCAAGGATATCACTGGCCACATCGATGACACAGCAGCCTAGTTTGTGGCCTATTATTCTGCCTACTGTTGTTTTCCCAGCACCGGGAGGTCCCATCAGAATAATATTTTTGTCTCCAACAAGAGAGCCGGTTGAACGCCATGACTTCCTTAATTCTGCAAGTGCAAAGGCTCTTGAAAGAAAGGGCTGGGTGTGCCTTCCCACTTTACCCCGTATGCTAGAAAAATGCTTATGTGTTATCCGTTTCAGATGCTGACAGCGGTTAAAGAGGAGCATTCTGTCTTCAATTTTCTGCCCACACCAACCTAAGAACTGGCTTTAAGCCTTTTTCAAGACATGAAAATAAAGAGATACTTGGTTACTAATTTCAACAAAATGTTAAAATCCTAATAGGATTAAATATATCCATGCACTCAATACATAGCTGTTCAAAAATCTTCCAAATTTATGGGATTCTTAGAAAGTATTATGATGCATATATTACACATTCTCCTTTAAATAAACTTTTATATAACTATACCATATTAATTATACAAATCAATGAGTGTCACTGCACCATCCATCATGCACTAGCCGAACTTCAGTTGCATCTGCCGTCCTTTCTCCCGCCCTCCTGTCCTCTTCTCCCTGACATTCCTCCCAGTCACTAAGTGTCCCTCTTTATCAGCTCTGTTTATTTGTTCCCCCATATGAGGAAAACCAGACAGCATTGGTTACTATCGTTTCAAATTTCAAGACACTTTTTAAAAGTTTAAATAAATAGGCTATAACTTTACAAGCTTGTAAACTTAAGATTATAAACTATAAATATATAAATGATAAACTATAAAAACTTTTTAAAATGTGTAGGATTTCCAGCACTACAAAAAAGTAACTACTAAAAGCAGAAATCTTATTCAGAAAATATCGTTCACAGATTCTTTTTAAAAACAGAGTAAATCCAATTAGCATCTCTTTTTCTTTTAGAAGTTACTGTCACGAATACTGTTTCATGATTTGTTGGCTTATAAAACATATAAAGAATATTTGGAGTTGTAGTAATAATTACTTGTAATTCATAAGACTGAGCCACATTCTCAATATTCCTTCATCTTTATTATCATGTTGACAGACTATTGCTATTTATTAATTTCTCATAAAATCCACAACGGTAAACCAGAATAAAAGAATACACTTGCTTATAAAATGCTCAAGTAATTTTCTAAATTGTAAGTCGAAGTATGCCATTTTTTCCCTATGTGTTTTTAACATGCGTACTGTTAAGAATCTTGTTTAGGGACTAGAGAGAGGGCTCAGCAGATCTGGGTTCAGTTCCCAGTACCCACGTGGTAGCTAGCAACCATCTGTAACTCTAGTTCTAGGGGATCTGATGCTCTCTTCAGGCTTCTGTGGGCATTGCCCACATGTGGTGCACTTACATACATCTGAAAAAAAAATACATATATATATATACATATATAGGTATCTATATATATATACGTATACATATACCTTGTTTACATATTTTCCTATCTGGTATCTTTAAAAATTATACTGAAATGAATAGTATATCAATAATTAATGAAGATTAATCATCAGTGAGGCCATTACTTTTGTTTCTGGTCCCATAAGCATCATTAGGGGTGGGGCTGAAATTCTAGACTTCAGAGAAATAGCCCAAAACTCATGAAGGTGTTCAATGAAAGGAAGTTTTGCTGGTGTACAGAGATGATCTACAATTTTCCACACAGATCCAGACCCTTTCTTTGGAAATACACTAATCCTTGAAATAAAACATGCCAGATACCAAATTTTTTTGTCATATAAAATCCAATTTGATAACTAGTGCAATAGTTATTGAAATTGACAGAGGAGCTTCAAAGACAATGGAGGGCTTTTACCTGTCCGCTGATAGAACTAATATGCAATTAAATGATATCAAATATTAAATGGTATAATTAATCCTGAAAATTTCCAGTGGTGTATTACTATTGCTCCTACCGAAACTGTTTTGTAACTAAACCTTTAAACCACTTTTAAAGGCCAACTCTGGATTTCACTTACACACATCCAAGCTGTCAAGAGAAAGAGCTCATCTTGTCCATGGCTTCGGCTTGCACATGCTGTTAAGCGCCACAGAAACCAGCCTCAGATGAAGAGGTTATTGACTCTAAGGCAAACTTGATCTTTGCAAAACATGAAAAAGAATTTCAAGTTAATCACAAGTGCATACAGTATCATAAAATTCTATGCACACACAACTATTTTTAAATGGCATCTGAGGGTTGGGTATGATGGTACAGGCCTTTAATCCTAGCACTTAGGAGGCAGAGGCAGGCTCTCTGAGTTTGAGGCCAGCTTTGTCTACACAGACAGTCCAAGGCCTTCCAGTGATGCATAGTGAAACTCTGCCTCAAATAATAAATTTTACATGGCATCTGAAATATTAAACAAATATTAATCTTTTCAAGTTTCCAAAATCTACTATTGAAAGATTAAGAGACTGAGTTATTTTCATCATAGCAATGACAGTACTGAAGGTATTCTACCATCAAGCAACAAAAACAACTGAACCAAGTAATAACAAACATGAAATCTTTCACAATGATGCCTGAGTTGTTTTAACTACATGCTTAATGATCAGAGGTGAGGAAATCAGTGTACTAAAGATATGAAATAAGTAAATGAACTTTCAAAAGCCCTTAAGCACGTGCCCGGCATAAGGATAGGCACATCAGTTATGAATCTCCAGGGAAAACAGTGCTGCTTACCTCAAATTGACAACTATTTTGCCATGCAACCTGACACCCTCTCTGGAGTAGGGCCAAGGCTAGAGAAAACTGTAACTTAACCACATCAGTAATTTATGAAACTGGTCTCTGGTACTGTGCACTAGTACTACCTGCTTTCAAGGGACTGTGTAAAACAGCATAATTAATTTTCACTTATGCATGGGTGCAGAAACACTCATCCACACTCACATGTATACACCACATACACGCAACACACACACAAATTGTGTCCTAGCTGAGTAGAATTTTTTTATACTATTTTTATGTGTATGTGTATTGCCTGTACATATGTGAGTGCACCCGTGTTGTGCAATGCCATGGAAGTCAGAAGAGGGGTTCGTATTCCCCTGGAACTGGAGTTAAAGACCGTTCACAGTCACCATGTGGGTGCTGGGAATTCAAGCCCAGGTCCTCTGCAAGAGCAGTCAGTGCTCTTAACCGCTGAGCCATTTACTGAATCTTGTATGTTTAATTCTGCTTTATGTAAGTTGCTTAAAATCTAGGCTATTAAGAGTAGATGGGTTGGGCGTGGTGGCACATACCTTTAACCCCAACACTCAGGAAGCAGAAGCAGGCAGATCAAGGCCAGCCTGGTCTGCATCAGAAGTTCCAGGTCAGCTGTCTCAAAAAACAAACAAAACCAAAAGTAGAAGATGGAGTTTATTTATAAATTTATTTATAAATTCTGCATCAGCATTATTATTCTACAATAAAAGTTCTCTTAAGTCTAGCAGAAGTCAGGGAAGTGCTATAACATGTAACAAATCTTGCCCTTTCTAAAGGAAAATTCTATTTTAAGCTACATACTAAATTTTATCTTGTATTATTTAGCTCTAAAATAACTTTTAGGTCTCTTTGCCCAAGTCTGTGTTAAGGCAATCAAATGGACAAAAGTTGGAGTAACCCCACCCCACCATATAACATCCAATGTGAAACCTGTGAGCTGAGTTTTCACTATTTAATGATTCATGGTAGTTAAGCTCTATGAAGTTCCTGCTACCCCTCAACTAGTGAGCATGACCACTATTCCTAGGGGAAATACTGCGTTAGGGCCTATGGGCCTTTGGTCACAAGATTCTGCCCAGTGAGTACAAATAAATGAATATATATATATGTTTCATATGTGTATCTGTTTAAAGACCTTATTTTGACTTTTTATTCATTATTATGAACTCACATCCAGCAGCACTCTAACTCAGGCCAGAATGAAGCTCAGCTAACACACCTATTTTGTCTGAAAAGCACACCAGTCTCCTTGCACTTGGAAATACTGCAGAGCACATGAGTACTAATTTAGGGACCAGTTTAAGCAACAAGACCACCACTGAAACCACAGCATGTGAAACATGTGGCACTACACAGAGTCTGAAAAGGATATTTGTCAATGAAACCCAAAACAAGAAAGCAAACATGTTGTCTGACTTCAGTTGGGAATGTGCACACAGCACATGTCCAAAAATGACTGCAGATGTGCTGCCAAGCATTGATTTGGGGGTTATGAATAAACATTAGCAGAAAGGATATCAAAATTATAAAATCCAGCCAGGCATGGTGGCACACACGTTCAATACCAGCTCTCAGGAGACAGAAGGAGGCGGATCTCTGTGAGATCGAGGCCAGTCTGGTCTACATAGCGAGTTCTAGGCCAGGTGGGGCTACAGGGAGACCCTGTGTCAAAACAAAACAAAAAGCAAAACAAAAAACCTATCTGTGGTTAGAGATGGCTCAGTGGTTAAGAGCACTGGCTGCTCTTGCAGAGGACCCAGGTTTGGTTCCCAGCACCCATGTGATGGCTAACAACTGTAACTCTAGTTCCAGGGGATTCAACCTGCTCTTCCAGCCTCCATGACATTGCACACATGTGCACTCCACGGCACTGCACACATGTGCAGTGCACTTACACACATGAAGGCAAAACACCCATACACATAAAATAAAAATAATAAATTTTGAAAATGTAAATAGAATCTGGGCATGGTGCATGGCTTGTGAGGCAGAGACAGTCAGATGGAGATGGAGGCCAGCTGGTCTACACAGTGAGCTGCAGGCCAGCCTGGTCTTCATAGTGAGCTGCAGGCGAGCTAGGGCTACAGAGGAATCCTGCCTCAAAACAAAACAAAACAAAACAAAAAAACAACAACAAAAAGAACCCTTTTATTGAAAGCTGTATTAGTACATCTTTTTTTATACATCAATATTTTATTATATTTGGTGTCATGGTGAGGAGCAGGCAACTCTCCTTCAGATAAAAGACAAAACTGTCAAATCAAACGGAAGTCAATCACATAAATTTCAGAAAACAAAAACTTCTGAAAGAGTAAATATCCTAGTCACAAGTAATCAGTTTTCAGTGGACTGTTAATTATAAGTATCTGAAATAAAGCAAGATCTTGACTCACTAACTCCATGGAAGATGCACTGTAGTTGCCTTGCCATCCAGATAGAACGAGAAAAAGGCAGTACTGTCAGGATTACAGGGCGAATTTGACACAAAAACAGCACGTGCACGTGTACATATCAAGAACCATGCGCCCTCAAATACAAGATCTGACAGCTTTGTTGGCACAAGTTGGTCAAAACTAAAAAATGAGGGGAAAATAACTATCACTTTTGTTTTTTCCTGTGGATGCTAATAGTTAATGCTTTCAAACAGAAGTGCATACATTATCAACTACTCACAATGTTTTCTGAAGCCTGCCATTAGCCAACCAAAATTAAAACTTTTTTTTTCAAAAATGATTCATGTTTTTTCAAATTATTAAAGAATCACCTAGTGTTTGAATCAGAAGAATCTGAAAAATCCATTTATTCAATGATTCAGCATTTGGGCCAATTTAAAATGCATGCTCTATTTAAATGCTTTTCAACTTAAAAGACAAGGCACAGCACTTCAAAGATTATTTAATGATGAGGCTGGAGAGATGGCTCAGAGGTTAACAGCACTGGCTGCTCTTGCAGAGGACCTGGGTTCTGTTCCTAGCACCCAGATGGTGTCTAATAACGGTCAGTAACTCCGGTTCTAGGGGAATCTGACAACCTCTTCTGACCTCTTCATGCATTGCACAACATGTGTACATGCAGGCAATGTATTCAGATAAAAAATTTTTAAATTTATAATAAAATAATACAGATTATTTAATGATGAGATGTTCAATGAACTCCAAACAACCTATGCCATCGTGAGCTCATTGCTCTTAAATTTCTAGGAAGAGTCACTGTCTGATCGTGCCATAAAGTTATTGTGAGGTCTAAAAAATTAAAAATGACTGGGCTTTTATAGCAATAAATTGCTTTCCAATAAGTAATCAGGAAAAATGCAAAGACATCAGGATATAAGCTAGTTAAGGGACAGTGAAGCTCTGCTGCTTTGACTGCTGACCCCAATCCTCTTTAACACTATTAGGAGGTCACCAATTACCCAGGAGAGGTGGGAGCTCTGTACACTCCACAGCCCTACAGGGATCACAAGGGTCTTACAACCAAAGCCTAGTCTGACTGGTTTATCACTCATCTTTGTCTTTCTATTCCTATCAAGCCTAAGCTTTGTCTTTTTGTTAAAACAATTTTTAATTGCCTCTCTCAATTTTGTAACAAATTATTTGAAAGGACATTGCCTGCAATCTCAGCTACATAGGAAGCTGAGGTGGGAAGATTCCAGGTTCGAAAGTCAGTCTGGGCAACACAGCCAGCACACCCACACACATACACTCATGCACACACACAAAGGTCCCTTTATTAAGGGTTTGTTTTCCTTCCAATTGCTTTATTTTCCCAAATGTGCTCATTTTATTTGTTCAAACAGGTTAAAGAGATCTTAGCAAAAAGTCAAATTTGAGGACTGGAGAGACGGCTCAGCAGTTAAGAGCACTGACTGCTCTTGCAGAGGACCTGGGTTCGATTCCCAACACCCACAATGGTGGCTAACAACTGTTGGTAACTCCCATTCCTGGAGAATCCCATGCCTTCTTCTGACTTCCACAGACACTGTACAACACAGGTGCACTTACACACATGCAGACAATACACTCATATATGTAAAATAAAAATAAGTATTTTTTAAAAGCCAAATTTGCTGTTTAACCGGGTACACCATTTACACCAGAAGCCTGTGTGAACAAAGATAAACCACAGGCAAAATCTGGCCAACACTACTATACTACTTCAGTGGAACGCTTTGCTGATGCTTCATTCATTCACTTATCCATTCATTCATTATGTCTTTATCAGTCTATCTGGCTACTTTTTGAGACCTGTGTAGTTGCCAGCCCACCTGGCTTGCAGAAATCCAAGATATTTATTCTTCAGTCTTTTACACAGAGTTTGATCCCTGAAGACATAATACTAACTTCTTTTGGGCATGATGTTGAACAGTAACATTTTCTTGATTATTGTCATTTTAAGAGAATTATAAAAATTAGAAGCATGCTCTTTAAACATACTTTCAAATGCCAAGTATAATTGCAGACCAAATGTCAAGGAAAGGGTTCCTTTCCAAACAATTTAGCAGCTCTATTGTAGCTGTAAACTCAGTATTTTTTACAAAACATGAAAATACTGAGGAGGATGAAATTATTTTATTTCCATTACCCGTGGAAACTAAGGCTACAGCCAGTTGGTGCTACCTGGAAAACTATGGTCCCACGAAGTTCTAAAAAACAATAATCATCCTACATTACTACCACAATCTGTTCTTAAATTTCTAAGAAATATGATTGTCTAGATCTGCCTCATAAGGCTATTCTGCCTTTACTATTTGTATTTTTATTATTATTATTTCGGGGACTAATTGCCATACATAGTCACAAAGGATTCCTTCCAATTAGACAATGGATAAATCTTAAGGCTGGGTGTGCCTCCATCCTCTTGCCTACCGTGCTTGGAACCCTGGGTTCAGTCCCAGAGTGCAGGTAAATATACATCCCTTGGCTAATGACTATCCAGTTAGTGTAAATATTCTATGAATACACAATTCAAATTTTAAGATGCACCGAGATCTACCAAAGAATCTCTTCTGTACACATGTTCATCTCAAAGCAATAAAACCAACCCAAAACACTTAGAGGGGAAAATAGGTCATCTCTATCTACATCTAATCCATGTAAAATTTTTATAAGAAACGCAGTCTACTGTGATAAAATAAGAATCATCATCCTTCAAAGACGTAGGAGCTGGAGGGCGGTTAAGAGCACTGGCTGCCCTTCCAGACGCCCGGGTTCGAATTCCAGCGCCCACTTGGCGACTAGCAACCGTCCTAACTCCAGGTCCAGGGATCCGTGCCCTCCTCTGACCTCTGCGGACACTGCACGACAAGGGTGCACTCACATGCAGGCAATACACGCATACACACAGGATAAAAATGATAAATAAAATATTTTTAAAAGCTAAAATTAGAAAGGGGCCCCGGAACGGGGCAAAACTGGGTGGGGCAAGGGCTCGCGCATGCGCCTGGGCCGACAGGTGGCTGGGGACGCGAGATGCGCGACGGGGCGGCATGCTAGGGCTCCGCTGGCGCTGGCTTCCCTTCCTGCTCCACGAACTCACCAAGAGAACCACCCAGAGAAGCCGGGGGAGAGGAAGGGACCCGGCAGCGTACCCACGCCGTGAGCAAAACCTCGGCCGCCGCCCGCGCCGCCTCCTCTGCGCCTGCGCTGCCGGCCACGTGACAGGCGCCTGTCCCGCCCCCGAATCGTGGCCCCGCCCCTTCCCACGAGTAGTGGCCGCTCGCCCCGCCCCCTCAGGCTGCGCCTGCGCGGTGGAGCCTGCGGTGTGACGCCTGCGCAGTAGCGGCGCTCGCGCTGTGGCGGCCGCTCCTGATTAGCGGAGCGTAATAACCGTGATGCCCTCGCACTCGGTTTCCTCCCAGTCATCCCCGTGGGCGCCGGGACTCCGGTACGACTCTCCCAGGCACGAGAAGGCGTTCCAAAAGTGGACCCGAGAAGAGCCCTAGTTTACCCTGGCTTCCTTCCGCCTCCGTTTCCTAGCAACCGTCTCCTAGCAACCGTCTCCTAGCAACCGTGCCGTCCACAACGCGAGGATCCCTGGGAAGGAGAGTGCTTTGTTTTCTTCCCGAGGGAGGGCTGCTGAAAAGACCCGAGGGGGATTCAGTGAGACGGAACTTCGTTTCCTTGATGCGAGCGGGGGAAACGCCGTGAGGACTGGGACGCCGGGTAGAGCCAGCGCTGCGGCAGTCGGAGGCTATGGACCCGACGAGCTCTTCCGAGAGCATCTATAACCTCATTCCCAGCAACCTGAAGGAGCCGCCCCGGCCTCCTAGGTATGTGCTAAGCAAAGGTGAACCCAGAGAGGAATGGCCCCTTGTAGGATAAGCCGGGCATACATGTCATGACCCCACTTAGGATGAGCTGGGCGCGCATGCCATCATGACCCCACGTAGGATGGCTGGGCATACATGCCATCATAACCCCACCGTAGGATGAGCTGGACATATATGTCATCATGACCTCACGTAGGATGAGCTGGGCATACATATCGTCATGGCCCCACTTAGGATGAGCTAGACATACATGTCATCATGACCCCACGTAGGATGAGCTGGACATACATGTCATCATGACCCCACTTAGGATGAGCTGGACATACATATTACCAGGGCCCCACGTAGGATGAGCTGGACATACATGTCATCATGACCCCACTTAGAACTACTCAGCAAGTGGACCGATGTACTTATTTATCATGTCACGATTTAGAGAAGAGGTTTCAGTTTATTGTTGCATTTAGTCTCCTACTGTGTAGTTATTGATCTAATTGTACATGGTGTGCCGTGTAACAATGTGAAATGCACGTTGCTGAAAAGAGAAGAGTCACAGTGTTACGGTATTTGCTGTTTAATTTTAGCTCAGTGTTCTACTGAACTGCAGCACTCTGCTGTGTGGTACTTTTTCCCTCTCGATGATTGCTAAAGTTAAATTTTCATTTGTTTCTGAGATTCAGTATTCCAGTTGGATAAATAAAGATGGTGGACCTAGAGAGGTATGTAAGGTCTTTTTCAGATCTTGTAGGTGAATGCAAGGGAAATGGTTTTATGGAAAGAGACTCCAAAATGTGTAACTGAGCAACAATTTTTATTTTTTGTCTTTTTTGAGACAGGGTCTCCCTGTAGCCCCACCTGGCCTGGAATGTACTGTGTAGACCAGGCTGGCTTTGAACCCACAGAGATCCGCCTGCCTCCCCCTCCTGAGTGCTGGGATTAAAGGTGTGTGCCACCACGCCTGGCCTGAGCAACAATTTTTATGGATCTGTTAGGACCACTGATACTCCCCAAGTCTCAAAAAAACCACAATGCAAATGCACAAGTTCCTGCCCTAGGTAGCTACTCTTTAAACTTCATTTAAACCCATGAAGAGAGCAGAAGGTAACTAGCGGGGATAATCTCTTCCCTCCTGGGTTTTATGGATTTTCTGTTACTTAATCTTTGTCTTTTGCATTATGTGAGCCACAACCTAAAGAACACTGCAGCCCAGTGTCGTGGTACATCCCTATCCCAGCCCTCAGGAGGTGTAGACAAGAATCTGGGTTCACGGCCATCCTGGGGTACAAAACAGACCCTGTCTCAAAAACCAAATAACACCAACAAAAAGGCCCTAGGCTATAAAACCAGGCTCTATAACTCATTGCTTTGGAGGTCTGCAGTAAATTTCCATTTGTTCTGTGATGTGCATACTAACTTAAGTGGAATAGAGGCTCCGTTCAAATGTAATGCTCATTTGTTTATATTAATAATTAATCAGAATAGAGTAATAACAACAGCACACATACAACTCCTTCCATTTTAAGTCCAAGTGAGTATGTAGTTGAAATCAGAGCAATACCTACATGCATTTCCACTGACTGATCAGAACCTAGCAGAAGTCAGAGGAATATAAAGGCTGACACACCTGCAGAGGTGTGAGTGTTCAAATTAGTTACTGCTGGGTCAACTTTTGGTTTAAAGTTCCCATACACTGTACAGGATAAACTTCCTCCTCTCAGTAACACACTGAAAGATGCTACCCTCTATGCAAACTGAATTTGAATGTTAAGATATTTTACTAGATAGGCATTTTGTTCATTGGTAAATTAAAGAGCTTTACTGCACCTAGGAAATTTTGTTTAGGAAAAAAAATAGGAGCGGTATCAATTTAGTATTCATTTAGCGATCATTAACTGAGCCCCTGCTATGTGCATAACACTGCCCTAGTGTTTGTGGGCATGTTCAGGTGACACCATGAGCTCCTTGCCTTAACTTGGAAGAAACTAATTACAAAGGACTTAGGAAGATAAGGAATGAAATATCGAAAGAGCTGTGAAGTCAGTTTCCCAGTCAGCAACAATGGTGAGGTTCTGAGGAGGTGGCATGCGTGCAAACCTCTGATTTGTACAAAGAGCACAATAAGGGGCTGGCTCAGCAGGTAAGAGCACTGGCTGCTCTTGCAGAGGACCCAGGTTTGAATCCCAGCACCCATATAGTGGCTAACAGCTATCCGTAATTCCAGTTCCAGGAGATCTGACACCCTCTTCTGTCCTCCACAGGCACTGCACGACACAGGTGCACTTACCTACATGCAGGCATAATACATACACAAAATGGTGCATGCCTGTAGTCCCAGCACTTTGGAGGCAAAGGCAGGCGGATCTCTGTGAGTTCAAGGCCAGCCTGGTCTACATAGTGAGTTCCAGGACAGCTGAGGCTACAGGGAGACCCTGTCTCAAAAAGACCAAAAAAAAAAAGTAAATCAAAGAGCATGATAAAACAAATCCTTACTTCTCTCTCACCACACTGGCACACTCTTGCCCTCACTCAGGCTCCTCAGTAAAGAAGAGTTAATTACAAGAAAGAAAGACTTACATGTACAACCCCATTTGCATCAGTGAGTTACAGTCCCAGCTCCAAGGAAGCTAGCCACAGCTTTGCAGCACTGGCAAAGACTGACCACTGGCTGCATTTGTGATGTCCCACACATCAAGAGTTTACAGACTTCTTGGTGAACAGAAATATGTGCAATAAAATGTTGATTAAGCCCCAAATATTATATTATTAAAAACCCTAATGAATGCCTGGTATGGTGGCACATGCCTTTAGTCCCAGCACTCAGGAGGCAGAGGCTGGTGGATCGCTGAGTTTGAAGTTAGTCTGATCCACATTGAGTTCTAGGCCAGCCAGTGCTACATAGTGAGACCCTGTCTCAGTAAACAACCAAACAAACAAACAAAAAACCCTAAGGAAAGTTTCAAATATTAGGTGACAATGAAAATTTAGAAGTGAGATATATATGCCCCAGATTTACTGAAAGAACATTCTTGTAGTTGAGACCTGAGGGATGACAGCATTAAATGTAACAGGGAGTCATGATTCACTTTCTAAAATTTGAGTTACTCATGATGCATGAGATGATTTTTCAAGATTTTCACCAAGTCCTTTACTCTTTTATTTATGATTGTAATACTTTAATATCACTAATCCTGTTCATTTTACCCTTTTATTTAAGAAAATACCCCAGGTATAGTTCGGACAAGTGTTAAACTGCATCTCCTTTTCTTAATATTTGGTACAGTACTTTCATCCAAGCAGCCTGAGTTTCCATTAAAAGTTTTGCATCCATGCCCTGTGCTCAGATGCATTGCAGTACAGCTTGGCCTCTCTGCTCCTGTAACTGTATAACTGAGTCTGTTTTTAATCTCTGTCTATCATTAATTCATGGAGGTAGTTTGGAATTGTGAATCATTCCGGTGCACTGTTAACTAGCCGCCTCAGCTCTGGCATTTGTCAGTCTGATGAGCAAGCAGTAATTAGCTGAGGGAAGCAGCAACTATTGTGGGTTCGTTGGTTGTTTGTTTTGAGACAGGGTCTCACTATGTAGTAGAGGCTACCACCTCGATGAGCTTATGGAGTATCTGACTATATATAAAAATTCTCAAGAACCTGAAGTTCTTTGAAAGTATCTGAAATTTTGACCAATGTTATTTCTTTGTGTGTCCTTTAAAAATGTAATAAAATGAATTCCTACCATCTTAATAATGTGAATTACTACTTGGTGATTGCTGGCAATAAAATAGTTATGGTATGTTTACTGAAGATGACAATTTTAGTTTCAAAATAAATTATCTGTTATCTCTAGCCCACTCTAATAATTAGACAATAGAACTAGTTATCTAATAAAGTCACCTGTTATATCTTTATAATAAACCACAACATTCAGAAAATGGACTAAAGTAGAGCCATTTAAAAGAAACAAGTTTTGCATATGCTGACATGAAAAGATATCACTATATTATATTTTTAAGATACAATTGCAATTTATTCAGAAGAAATGGAAACAATTTATTGTGGATAATTGGTAAAATGAAGGGATTATTATTATTATTCATTTTTTATTAATTTGGAATAAATTGTTAATACAGAATAGAATATCTTATGTAGTAGATGAGTATGCTTTCAATTTCTGAGCCACAACAAGTATTGAATCACAAAATTGCAAATTAAAAAGAAGTAGGTATAGATGCACCTTGCTTCACCTCAAAGGAAATTATATTATTAGTTGTGACACCTTATCTGCCAACATCCACAGAAATTTTAAGGCACAGGTTTGGCTTGAATATTGTTTCCTGAAGATGTCTGATGAGTTCCTCCATTTCCATAATTTATTCCCAGCTACTGAGGTGAAGAGTGAGGAAGGGCCCTAAAAGCACAAAGAGTTTGCGTTTCCACATAAGGAGAATACGGCTGCTGAAGTGGGCTAGCTCAGAGTGGGAGGGGCTGAGGCGGGGACGGTGGGCAGGTGTGATCACAGTGCTTTGTATGCAATTATGAAATTGTCAAAAAATAAAAGTGGGACCCGACAAGGAAACAGATTGCCCCATATTCCATTTCTCCAAGGTAAACACAGTTATATTTTGAGGTATTTCCTTCCAACAATATTAATACAACTTAATTTGGGTACATATCATACACAAAATTTTAATGATAACCTGTACCTCAAATCCTGATAATTTTCCAAAGCTGTTGAGAAAAAGAAATCTATTTTTGTTTTTTGTTTCTTTAAGTAAGATAGCTGAACATCTGCTTCCAAGCAAGGATGGGATTTACTCTCGAACCAGAAACAATTAGAACAACAGAAAAAAAGAAAGAAGAAGGAGGGAAGGAAGGAAGGAAGGAAGGGAGGGAGGGAGGGAGGGAGAGAAAGGGAAGGAAGGAGGGAGGGAGGGAAGGAAAGGAAGGAAGGAGAGAGAAAGAAGGAAGGAAGGAAGGAAATGAAGGAAAGAAAAAAGAAAGAAAGAAAGAAAGAAAGAAAGGAAGGAAGGAAGGAAGGAAGGAAGGAAGGAAGGAAGGAAGGAAGGAAGGAAGAAAACACATAAAACAGTGTTTTTCAAACACTGGTCAACAGACGGTATAGAGCAGCCTTCCCCTAAGAGAAGGGAAACCAATGAAGCAGGTCTTGCTGGCCCTAACGTCCTCTCTAGGGAGAATTTCCTGGCCTCAGTCCAGGAAAGAAAATGTAAACAAAGCCTAGGAGGCTCCTAGAATTGAGACACAGTTCGGAGTTTAGAGATAGAAAGCTAGAATTCTCAGCACAGTGTGTGGAGGAGAGAACTGTATGGAGGGCAACAGAAACCTACATCAGACTTCTCTAAACTCTGGCTAATCATGCATATGTGTAATGAAACTGCCAAGGCCAAGAGAATAACCCTCAGAGAACAGCAGTACTGGGTGAAGTCCATATGCCAGAGTGCAAGTGTCTCCTAATCTACACAGTATGTTACATCAGTAGTGGGGCCAACCCAGAGACCAAGCTCTTATGGGCGGGCCTGCCCTAAGACTTAAAATCTAGCTTTAAAATGATCACTGTTTTCAACCTTGAGAGATGCATCCCAGAATAAAGCTAAAGAAAAATAAAACAATTAAGATAGATAAAAAGAGAAAGGACCAAAAAAACTCAGCAAACAACAATATGAAATTTATAACACCATCCAATCAGAGATTTCCAGGCATGGAAGGAAACATAATCTGAGATGTAACCTGTAGGAAAATCAGTCAATATAAACAGAAGTGGCATAGATCAGAGAATTAGGAGACAGGCATTCAAAGCAGCTACTTTAAATACCATGCTCGAAAAGGTAGAGAACCCAGGGGTCATGCGCACACCTTTGATCCCAGCACACAGAAGGCAGAGGCCAGCCTGGTCTATATAGTGAGTTCCAGGCCAGCTGGGTCTAAAGGGAGACACCTGTTTCAAAAAAAAACAATAACAAAAGCAAAACAAAAAGGTAAAGGAAGACGTGATCAACATATGGAGAGAAATGGAAGTGTGGTGGGGGAATCCAAATCTAACTTTTAGACATAAAGATACAATGTCCTGAATTAAAACAACACAGTAAATGGGGTTAACAGCAGCTAAGGCACTAAAGAAGAAAATATAGGTGAACCTGAAGACACAATCACAAAACAACATAAAATGAAACATGGAGAAGAAAGCAGAAGAGAGCACTGGCAAGCTATGGACAGTGTCAGTCTGCAAGCCAGGTGAGCTCCCCCACACCTTTGATCCCCAGGGGTCTTCTCTTTCTACTATGTGGGCCCTGGGGATCAAATGCAATCATCAGGTTAGCAACAAGCACCTTCGCCCCTGAGCCATCTTGCCAGCCCATAAATATACTTTAAAAACCACATTAAGGGGTTGGAGAGGTAGCTCAGCAGTTAACAACACTGCTCTTGCAGAAGACTGGGGTTCGATCCCAGAACCCACATGGTGACTAACAACTGTCCATAACTCCAGTTCCAAGGGATCCAACACCCTTGACACCCTCTCCTGGCATCTTCAGGCATTTCACACATGGTACACTTACATACATGCAGGCAAAACACTCTTAAACATAAAAATAATAATTTTTTAAAAAAATACACGTTAAAAGTAAGTGATGTATCAGGGCTGGAGAGATGGCTCCTCAGTTAAGAGCACTTCCAGAGGACAAGAGTTCTGTTCCCAGCACCCACACTGGACATCTCACAGCCACCTGTAACTCCAGCTCCAAGGGGATCTGATGTTCAGTTCTGACCTCTGGGCACCTGCATGTATGTATACACATACACACACATATACATGAATAAAATCATTCTTAGAGTAAATGATATGAACATACAAGACAAAAGTGACTATGATTAGATAAAATGTCTACATGCTCTATGAGGAAATCTCTCATAATAAAGATATAAATAACATGCAAGAATGCAAATGGGTATATTACCGCAAATCAGAGGAAACCTGGAATGGACGCAATAGTGTAAGATGGTAGTTTTAGAGTACAGAATTCTAAAAGGAGTAGAGATTGCTATTTTATAATGATGAAGTGGAAAAGATATAATAGTGTTAGAATTTTAGAATTCATAATGCAAAAGCTGTTTAATGAAAAGAATAGGCAAATCCGTAATTACAGTCAGATGTCAACATTTCTTTCGAAATTGAAAAGAAAAGAAACAGCTCACTGAAGATACAGAACACTTGAAAACACTCTCAACCACTACACTCAGCAGACTGCGTTCTTTGCAAGCATACACAAGGTGTGAGGGCAATCTGCATGCAACACCAGGGTTGATTTGGGTGGTCTGGCTGGCAAGGCAGGTGTCCCCTTGCCCTCACCACTCCCTTGCCAAAGCTGTGTGCCAAGTGGAAGAGGATGACCTTCCCTACACAGAGAGGACCATTCATCAGTAAAGTGTGTACAATCAGGGTCTACCTGTGCTCCCCTGCTAGAACCTACCAACAACCACTCCAGTTTACAAAGAACTTTGACCAAACCAGACCATACTTGTGCCATTAAACAAATGTCAGTATTTTTTAAAGAATTGAAGTCATACAAAGTATAGTCTTTGTCTACAGTGGAAATAAATAAAAAATCAGTAATCAGGTATTTGGGAATCTCAAATACACAAAAACTGAGGAAGCACGTGGAAGCACACTGCAAAAGGAAGGAGATGTGAAAGTATGGAGGGCTGCATGAAAATGAAGCCTGCCAGGTCAAAATGCCCGGGATGCAGCTAAGGCAGCTTAGAGGAAACCTTACAGCTTTAAACACCCGTGTCAGAAAAGCCTCAAAGTTTTAAGTCAAATATCTGTGATTGACCTTAAGAAAATTTTTAAAAAGAAATAAAGATCATTAAAATGGGACACATGTGAGCATTAGAGAAAAATCAATGAAATTTGGGTTCCTTGAGAAGATAATGAAATAACTCCTAGTGAGACTGGGAGTGAGGGGATGAGCAGTGGGAAAGAACATGCCCCAACCAATGCTACTGATATGCAGAGGTTAATAAGGAGTCCAGTGCAACTTTGCCCTGGCAACACTTTCAACCTAGATTTTATAGGCCTGGTGGATGGAGCCATATCATTTGGTTCTAGGCCTGTTCCCCATTATGAAGGTAAATGTATATAACTTACAGATTTGTGCCTCGTTTTAAACTTTAAGTATTTTCACTAGAAATATAAGTGCTGCAATCTGATTTCAGGTACACATCAGTGTTCAGAGCAACTGTAAAAGATGACATGAAGAAATTTAAAACTGCAATGAAAACTATGGGGCCTGCAAAAGTTGACACGCCCTCCCCGAAGGACTTCCTGAAGAAACACTCGAAGGAAAAAACCCTTCCACCCAGTAGGTTTTATCACTGTTTTTTATTGGTTTGTTTGTTTGTGTGTATGTGTGTGTGTGTGTGTGTGTGTGTGTGTAAATGACTGTGTATCTATGTGTGGGTATGTGCATGTGAGTGCAGGTACAGTTGTTAATTATTTTACATTTTATCACAGACTAATCATGTTAATGTGACTATATAAAAACAGATTAGAATTGTCAAGCCGAAAGACTGGGTTAAAGTAAACAATTCCATCTGCTGTTAATGAAGAGTGTCTGGTACAGAGAAATAAGATCAATTCTGGATGGTAGTTCCTTTAGGAGAGGGATACAAGGACGGAGGAGCAAGAATGTCAGCCCCTGAGATCTCTCACTTGTTAACTGTGTGCTGAGTGCATAGCTGTTACCCATGTAAAAAGAATAGTTTCAGTGAAAACACCCATCAGTTCTTGGGCTTCCTACAAGTTTGACTCATTTACTTGGTGGCTTTACAGTAGTTTTCTCCTAAAGACGTAATTATGGATGACACTGTATCAATCGAAAGCTTATATAAAATGGGAAAGCTGAGTATATTTTGCTATAGTTTTAAAAATATTGTTATTTTATTTTATGTGTATGACTGTATTGCCTGCATGTATGTAAGTGCGCCCATTGTGCTGTGTTTTGCCCACGATGGTCAGAAGAGGGCATCGAATCCCCTGCAACTGGAGTTAACAGACAGTTTTAGCCACCATGTGCATGCTGGGAACCAGACCCCATTTCTCTGCAAGAGCAGCCAGTGCTCTGAACCACTGAGCCATCTCTTTAGTCCCTGTTGCTGTAGTTGGTATAAGAAAATATTCTCCTAAGAGTCTGCAAGAATGCAGTAGTGAGCCAGTGTTCTTATCCCCTCTGACATTTTAATATTTTTCGGCACTCAATTTATTACGTTACACTTAATTTTTTTGCATTTGGATTACTTATATTTTTCTATTTAAGCTACTTTATTGAGGTATGATTGACAGACTATATATTTGATATATAGAAATCAATAAATGTGTGGATACACATAAATTTTTTACCCTAACTACTTGGATATGTTTCTTTTCTTGAAGATAGAGTCTCCCTGTTACACCAGCTGGCCTGGAACTTGCTATGTAGACCAGGCTGGCCTCCATCGCACAGATACCTGGCTGCCTCTGCTTCCCAAGTACTGGGACTAAAGGTGTGTGCTACCACACCCAGTTCGCTCCTCCCTCCCTCCCTCCCTCCCTCCCTCCCTCCCTTCCTTCAAGCACCTCTACCTGCTGAGTCATCTTGCCAGCCCAGTGCTTGCTTGCTTGCTTCCTTCCTTCCTTCCTTCCTTCCTTCCTTCCTTCCTTCCTTCCTTCCTTTCGTGAGACAGAGTCTCAATATGTCTCCCTGCCTGGCCTAGAGCCCACTATGTAGACCTCTGGCCTCAAACTCTTGACTGTGTTATTAATGAAACCTCAATACTAGTGGTAAATATCTGGATGTCACAAATAGTGTTGAGTAGCATTGTTTACTTTATAATATTAACAAGAAAACGTTATGTTTAACAGAAAAAAAGTTTAATAGATGCTTTCCCAAGAAGCCACCAGTGCCCTTAAGAACAGACCATCCAGTCATGGGAATACAGAGTGGAAAAAACTTCATAAATACAAATGCATCTGACGTCATCATGGGAGTGGCCAAAAAGCCGAAGCCAATTTATGTTGACAAGAGAACTGGAGATAAGCATGATCTGGAGGCATCAGGCCTGCTCCCAAAGTACATCAATAAAAAGGTAGACTTCAGTGCAAGCTGTGAGATTCGAATGTATCCAGAGGTGCTCCTGATAGCCGGCTCTGTTCACATGCATCCTCTTGCTGGGCAGACAAGCCTCTGCATGCCTCCTCCCTGCAGTCTGTTTAATTCAGATCTACACTGATGAGATTACTCTCCTCAGTGTGAGTTATTTATACATTTAGTGATTACAGCACATTCTCTGAAGAACATTAATTTTTGGTGGCGCACATCACTGGAGGCAGACAGTGCTCGTAAACCTTTCAGGAGCTCTTGAGATCAGTCATTGGACAGCAGCGACCTAGGAGCAGAATGAGAGAAAGGGGCACAAGTGCAGATTCAGTGCCACCCCTCAGTCCAGCAGACGTAGCTTGTGTTACTATTTTAATGTTAATATATTTATTCGACGTTAGTTCAGATGAAGCACTGAAAGTACTATGCACTGATTAATTACTTGGGTCACTGATATCTATCTGAAAAGGTGTTTATCAGAAAAGTACATCATCATTATGAAACGTAACATTATAGAAACTTAAGTTTAAAGGTACAGATGGAGAAGATTTTTTTAAGCAAAAGTTTACAAAGAAAATATGTAAATCTTGTATACTTTATGGAGCATAAAAGTGTATGAACACGTGCTAAAACAGGAGCGCAAAATCCTAAGGAGTGGTAACAATAGTAAGTTGTGGCCGGAAGGAAGAGAGGGAAGGTTAGATGGAAGGATGGAAGGAAGAGAGGGAGGGCAGGGCAGAGGGAGGGAGGGACAGAGGGAGGGACGGAGGGAGGGAGGGATGGAGGGAGAGGAAGAGGCAGGGAGAGAAGGGAGGGAAAAGAACAAAGAAGGGGTAGGGGGAAGGGAAGGGAAAGGAAGGGAAGAGGGAATGGGGAAGGAGAAAGGGAAGGGGATGAACGGAGAGGAGGTTGCCACAGGGAGGGATGCGGACCCTGCCTTCAGATACAGCCAGTGAGTACCACAAGTGGAAAACAGGGCCTTGAGGCCCATTCTCGGGGACTTTCCTCTCCCAGGAGGCTAATGTCACCTCTGGAAGAGTGTCAGCAGTTGTCTGGCCACACATGCTGAGAAGGTGGCTAAGGACACTTCCTGCCCCTGCTGCTCTAAAGAGCCAACAGTTCTGGGGCCCATCTCATCCTTGGGGAAAGGGGACATTCACCTTCCTGGGTTCTTAGAGCACCGCCAAGCTGGTGTTTGTTTATTTGCACACAAAAACCTTTCTCCTTTGATGGTTATACCCCCAACTGCCACACACTCTGCGACCTCAGGGCTGTCTCTGATTGAGCTGCCCACATCAATACATTTTCTTCCTTGAACAGAAGAAATTAGAGTATCCATCACAGAAACATAAAGATAGCAGATTAATGCACTTGCACGTGTTCATCAAACGTGGCACACCTGTTGTTCTCTTGGTGCTGCTCTTGACAAGATAGTAAGTAAACCCTCTTAAAGGCAGTACAATTTTCTAGGAAAACTCTGCCACATTAGCTCTATGGTCTATACCAAGCCATTGGATTGACCACAGAGTTGTAGCCAGGATTGAATGATGGTAAGTATATTAAGCATCTGACACCAGCAGCTAGTAAAAGTATAACAAAGAATAGTGTGCACAACACATCAGTTGTGAGCAGAGTACATTTGCCTGTAGTTGTTCTGCTGGTGGGAACATTTAAGATCACTGAAGCTGTTTGCACACCTGTTGGACTTCTTTCTGAAATGGACTGTGGCATTCTCTTTCTTGAGCATAGTATGCCAAATATAATCTAACCTTCTAAATGTATTTAGTGTGCGTGTGTGTGTGTGTGTGTGTGTGTGTGTGTGTGTGTGCAGTATAGGTGGAGAGAACAACTTGTCCAGTCAGTTCTCTGCTTCCACTGTGTGGATCCAGGAGATGATACTCAGGTCATCAGACTTGGTGATAAGCACCTTTACCTGTTGAGACATTTTGCTGGCCCAACACCTCACTTCTAAAAGACTGGGATCAACCAGTTCTCATATAGGGAAAAGAAACCATTGAATTTTGTCAGCTTGCAGTGTCTTTAGCAAAGTTTTAAGTCTGTGAGACTGTTCTTCAGTCATTGGTTGGTGTGCACACACACACACACGATTGTTCTTCAGTCATTGGTTGGTACACGCACACACACACGATTGTTCTTCAGTCATTGGTTGGTGTGCGCACACACACGATTGTTCTTCAGTCATTGGTTGGTGTCCACACACACACACGATTGTTCTTCAGTCATTGGTTGGTGTGCGCACACACATGATTGTACTTCAGTCATTGGTTGGTACACGCACACACACACGATTGTTCTTCAGTCATTGGTTGGTGTGCGCACACACACGATTGTTCTTCAGTCATTGGTTGGTGTCCACACACACACACGATTGTTCTTCAGTCATTGGTTGGTGTGCGCACACACATGATTGTACTTCAGTCATTGGTTGGAATGCACACACACACGATTGTACTTCAGTCATTGGTTGTTATGCACACACACATGATTGTACTTCAGTCATTGGTTGGTGTGCACACACACACGATTGTTCTTCAGTCATTGGGGTACACGCACACACACATGATTGTTCTTCAGTCATTGGTTGGTGTGCACACACACATGATTGTACTTCAGTCATTGGTTGGTGTGCACACACACACGATTGTTCTTCAGTCATTGGTTGGTGTGCACACACACATGATTGTACTTCAGTCATTGGTTGGTACATGCACACACACAATTGTTCTTCAGTCATTGGCACACACATACATGATTGTTCTTCAGTCATTGGCTGGGACATGCACACACACGATTGTTCTTCAGTCATTGCTTGGTATGTGCACACACACACAATTGTTCTTCAGTCATTGGTTGGTATGTGCACACACACAAAGCTGCAGTGAGGATGCTGATTCTTTTTTCCTGAAAAATCCTTACAGGATTATGGTGTCACACCTGAGTACATATGTAAGCGAAATGAGGATGTAAGGAAAGCCCAGGAAGAATATGATAATTATATTCAGGAGAACCTTAAGAAAGCAGCTATGAAGAGACTATCTGATGAGGAAAGGGAGGCCGTTTTGCAGGTAAGCATTCTGGAACTGGGGGTACTCTGGAATGCTCTGGGAAAAGGTCTTACCACCCTGCATCAACTCAGCTGTAGAGACCAGGGCTTTGATTCTGAAGTCACAACTCTGTTTTGGTTTTAGCAACAACTGAAAGAGTAAAGTGGAGGCCTGGAAAGAGAAAAACCAAATGATAATACAAGGATCATAGAATAGTATTTTGTTTCCAAGTTGATAAGTTTCTTTTTAAGGAAGCCTACTTTCTCTAACAATGAACATTATAAATAAAGTGAGAGAATGTTTGTTTTCATTCACATGTCCCCGAATTTATTGAAATAAAACCCCACAACTCATAGATGAAGTATTTTTCACTAGATGGAGCTCTAGAATAATTGAAGCTGTCCCCAAACCACTTTTTTCCTTTCCTATGATACAACGATCCACAATATTAAATAAATAGATATTAATTATTGCATACATTTCCTCTGCTTTGAATAAAGGCTCCATAAAGACATATTCACGTTGAAGTTTTTGTTTTTGATTTTTTGGGTTTGTTTTTTTTTTGTCTTTTTGAGACAGGGTTTCTCTGTAGCCTTAGCCGGCCTGGAACTCACTATGTAGACCAGGCTGGCCTTGAACTCACAGAGATCCACCTGCCTCTGCTTCCCGAGTGCTGGGACTAAAGGCATGTGCCACCACACCCAGCCAGGTTGAAGTTTTAATGCAAATGTCTATCTGAAGCATGAGTCGTGGAGGGTGGGGTAGGGTGTGGCTCTGTCATTTGCTCAGAGTGTTTATTAAGCATCTGATGGTACTCTTCAGTTGTGTCCCCCCTTACAGGGGTGAAATGATTCTTTATTCTTTTAAAAAATCATTTTGAAAGCTTTCTGCAAGATGGTTTCCAATGACCTCATAAAAACAAGAGAACTTGGTTGGTGAGGTGGTTCATGGATAAAAGCTTGGGACACAAGCATGAGAACTCATGAAAAGCCAGGTGCAGTAGTGTGCTCCCATGATCCCAGCACTCCTATGGCGAGATGGGAGGCAGAGGCAGGACAATCACCAGGAGCTCATGGGCCAGCCAGCTTGGCACAGGCAGCACCAAACAACAGACCCTGTCTCAAGGTGCGGCCAGGACCAAGGCCTGAGACTGTCCTCTGACCCCCAAATACCCTGGCACACATGTCCTTATTCACACAATCATGCATGCACACATTGTAGAAAAGTGAAAACTCTTTTACCTTATTAGTTTCTGTTGAAAATGGGTCATAAATCATTAGAATTCTTAGTATTTAATCAATGTCATCATAATCAGGTTATTAAATGTCTATTTTGCACACAGTATTAGTCTAAGCCATGAAGATACCATAAAAGGTTAGATGTAATTTTTACTACAAAGAATGTTATAATTTGCTTGATGGGAAGTGATATATATATAATATATATTATATATAATATATGTCTATATAGATATGAATGTGGATGTGTGGATGTCAAGTTGAAGAAAGGAGACAGATCTTAAGTTGAACCTCAAATGTAGAGTGAGAGGGACCAGACCCCAGGAGGGCCTTACAGACAGGGCCTGTTAGTGTGGAGATTCTTCTTCCTTTCCTTCCTTCTCTTCCCCCACGATCCCTCCCTCCCTCTCTCCCTCCCTCTGGATCTCCCTCCATCCTTCACTGGTCTCACTTCTCTGATGTTCACAAGGTGCACTGATGGAGCCGAAAGGAGAAAGGGGAGGGACACTGGCAGGTACCACATGGGGACTTGCAGGTTATTGGGGTAGGGGGAAGGGAGGGATTTGCCCACTGTTTCACTCTAGTTTGGCATCTTCCATTTTCAGGAACAATATGCCTCTGTGACAGCCAAAGTATTATACTCACACAATGCTGGGAAATAGAGGGATAGGAAGAACTTCCCTTGAATGCAGACTCTTTCCACCTATGCCTTGGGGTGGTGGTGGGAAAGCAACTTTTGGCTTCCTCTTCTGGCCTCCCTTTGATGCAACAATAGCAAAATAGCAAATCCTTCATTGAATGCCTACTAGCTGTATTAGTCACTGTTTTGTTGTGATAGAAACACTGACCAAAGAAAATTATAGAAGGAAGAGTTTATTTGAGCTTACGATTCCAGGGGAATTACAGTCTGTCATGGCAGGGAGGCATGGTGGCTGGAGGTGGCTGGAGCAGGAGCAGCAGAAGCTCAGCTCTCACATCATCATGCTGGCACAGGAAGCAAGAAAGAGACTGACGATCTGGCAAGGCTTAAGAACTCTCTAAGCCCACCCCCAGTGATGTGTTTCCTCCAGGATGGCCACACCTCCTAAAACCTCCCAAAACAGTGCCATCATCTGGGGACAAAATGTCCAAACACTTGGAGCCTATGGGGGACATTTTCATTCAAACCATCACACTAGCCAATGCATAACTCCTTAATAACAAAACCACTTGCCAACCTACTGACAAGCCCTGGACCTTGCTTCCAAGATGCAGAGAGTTCTATGGCACCGTGGTTGTATGCCGGAGCAAGCCATAGTCAGCCCATTCTTCCTAAAAGAATAGTCTCTTCACACCTGGATCGGACCATCGGATCTAGTGATCCCAAACATCTCATTCTACAAATGAGGAGATAAAATGCAATGTGTTAAGCAGATTTGTGTGAGTGTTCATACACTTATTAACTTGTGTGTTATTTTAATCTCTGTGTTCCAGGCACAGTCCCATGTTCGTGGTAACAGTATAACACCCAAAACAAATAGTCCATACTGTAGTGAACTTTTACACTTGCCTTTGGTCATAGAATTATCAAACCAATGAATCAGGACTAAAGTTACATCTCAGTTCTCAGGCTGGTGTTTTCCCCACTTCAGAAAAGGGCAGCAAGGGGAAGTGGGGCTCCAGTGGGAAATAGAAGGCGGACTCAGCTGGGCTCTGAAGGGAAATTTGGAAGGAACCGTAGACTGAAGTGAAGCCTGGGGAAGGGAACCAGCAGGCCCCGAGGCCCCAGGACTAAGGACAGGGAAGTCTAGCACTATCTGTGTATGGGAAGGGTGGGAACAGGAGTGGTGTTCTCAGAGCATGATGAGAGCTGGCACCGAAGGGCACAGTTCAGGTAAACGCTGCTAGGAGCATGTCCTTGGTCTGGAAGGAAGTGGGAAGAATGCCCCAAACCCTCTCCTCTCCTACCAGGGACCTTTGATCTGAACTCAGGACAGGAGGAACACAAACCAAGAGACCCCCACAGCATCAGCCCTCCTTCAGCCTTGTCATGGGGCAGGGCAGGAAGGTGGAGAGTGTGTGGGGGCCAGTGGGTCCCGGAGCAAGAAGCTGAATGCATTTCTTCTGTGGTTCTTGAAACCACAGGATGGTGGTTTTCTATTTGAATGTTTACATCATTAACAATATTAATTCTGCATAAAAATAGGAGAAAGAAAAATGAAAAAACAAAAAAAAGAAAATGCTATTGCTGCAACGGATGAAAGACTCTTTTATAAGATAAAACAACCAAAAATAAAAGGTCTTAGAAACAGCAAGGAGGCTACATCAACATAATATGAAATTATATTTAGTTTCCATCCCTAGCTGTGGACTTTGATCCAAACTGTGCACACACTAGAAGATAAAAGTAGACTACCCTTCAAAAAGAAATCCACAGAAAAAGAGTACTGCTGTGGCCACAGACTATAAAGTATCTCCCAGCTCACTATGAAAACCTCTGCTGTTTGAAAGTGTATAAATATATACATTTCCTGTCTGTGGTAGGCACCCCTGTGGTGCACTGTAGAAACATATTCACATTTCATAATGAAAGATGGGGGAGAGATAGAATTCTTTTAAGGGCTTCTTTTGGGAACACATCTCTTGTGTTATTAAAAACTGCACTGACCCATCTCCCTCTTTGGAAAATGTGACCTGAATGATTTGGGCTTCTGTCTTTCCCCTTCCCAGATCTTTGGCTTAATCTGACTCAATAAGGGGTCAAAATCTGCTACCCCACTCCCCCAACAAATGAATCCTATTTAGTGCACCCTATTCCACCATTACTTCTACCAAAATACAGAATTAGATCATTGATTTATTGCCCCTAAAAGCTTTCTACCTATGGTGAAGTCCTTATTGCATAAGACACTTTCACTCTCCTTTACTTCATTTTTCTTCACATAGATTGTTTTTACAAAATACTGAGGCAGAGGCAAGCAGATCTCTGTGAGATAAGGCCAGCCTGGTCTACAGGGTAAGTTTCAGGCTTTCAGTCCACTGGAGCTACAGAGAAATCTAAAAAAAAAAAAAAAAAAAAAAAAAAAAAACTAAAGAAGTAATGGGTGTCATTGTGACATTTTCATATGTGGAAGTGAGGTACTTTGACCGTGCTCACCCCCACTGCCCTCTTGTGCCCCCCTCCCTGCCTACAGGTCGCCTTCCTTTTCCCAAATAGCCCTTTTTCTGCTTTCACATTTTTTGTCTTTTTTTTTTTTTTTTTTTTTTTTTTTTTTTTTGAGACAGGGTCTTCCTGTAGCCCCAGCTGTCCTGGAACTCACTATGTAGACAAGGCTGGCCTTGAACTCACAGAGATCCTCCTGCCTCTGCCTCCCGAGTGCTGGGATTAAAGGCGGGCCCCACCATGCCCGGCCCTCTCCCATAGCCCCACCCCTCTGTCCCCTTCTCCCCCAAATAGTCCGCCTGCTTTCCTGTTACACATTTCCCTTTACCTGCTTGTTTTACCCTCCTGTTAGATCTCTTCCTCCCCTCTCATGGCTCCTTTCTGTCCTTGTGGCTTCTCACACGCACACACACATACACACACACACACACACAATTTTAAGTTCTCCCCCTCCTCCTCCTCCTCCTCCTTCTACTTCTTCAAGAATAAATGTGATATTTGTCCTAAATCTGCCTATTTTGCTTAAAATTATTATTTTAAATGCCATTCATTTTACTGCAAATGTCATGGTTTTGTTTAAGGCTGAATAAAATTCCACTGTGTGTGTGTACCATGTGTTCTTTATCCATTTGTCTGTTGGTGGCCATCTAGGCTGGTTCATGCTGCGAATAGTGCAGCAATAAACATGGTTGTGCCAGCATCTCTGTTGTGTGTTGACCAGGAATCCTAGTACCCAGGAGTGGGTCACATGGCATTTGTTTCCAGTTCTAGGAGAAAACTCCATATTGATTTCCATAGTGGCTGTAGCAGCTTATATTCCTACCAGCAGTGAAGGACAGTTCCTCTTCCCCTACCTCCTCCTCAGCATTTCTCGTCATTTGTTTTTGTGATGACAGCCATCAAAGCAGCTTTTATTTGCATTTCCTTGATGACTGAGGATGCTAAACACATTTGCAATATTTGTTGGCAAGTATTTGTATTCTTTTGAGAACTGTCTGTTCAATACTTAGCCAACTTATCTGTGGGATGGTTTGTGGGGCTATTTGCAGTTTACTTTCTGCATTTCTTTATATATTCTGAATGTTAAACCCTGGCTGATATGTAACTGACAAAGTTTTTATCCCCTTCCTGTAGTCTCTCTCTTCACTCTGATGATCTCTTCCTTTGCTGTGCAGAAGCCTTTTACTATCATGCAATCCTGTTCCTCAATTCTTGGGATTATCTCCGTGCTGCTGGAGTCCTTTCCAGAAAGTCCTCACTTATGCCCGTATCCTAGAGCATTTTTTCCCCAATCTCATTTCATTCTTCTACACATGGAAGTCCAGTTTTCCCAGCACCACTTGTTGAAGAAGCTGTCTTTTCTCCAGTGTATGTTTCTTTACTCCTATATCAAGAATTAGGTGGCTATAGCTGTGTGGGTTTATTTCTAGATCCTCTATTCTGTTCCATCTGTCTACATACCTGTTTAATGTGCCAGTACCATGCTGGTTTTGTTACTATGGCTCTGTAGTATAATTTGAGATCAGGTGTATTGATAGTCCTCTAGCACTGCTCTTTCTGATAGAAGAGTTTGTGGCTATTCAGAGTCCTTGAAGATTGGAGCCTTCCAGTATGTGCACTGAAGTAGGGCAGGGTCTGTTGAACTTGGGAAATGTTTATGCTGTCCCTAAGTCTATATTGAAAAACTGCAGTTTTCACCGGATATCTTCACTCTGGTAGTTTTCCTTTTTGTACCAGGGTTTCCACACTGAGCTCCATTGTCTGTGGGCTGGGCAGGTTCTCTCACCCTTTGGTACATCCTGGTTTGTACACCCTGGTGTGGGGAGTGGAGGTTGCCTCTCAGATGCCTTGGGAGTATGGGAAGCAACCACAGCATTGCTGAGATGTTCAAGTGGAAGACCTTGTCTTATATTTTCGAGAACTCCTGAGTATTAGTCACCCCGTTAGAGGGAAGCAGCGTGGGTGTATGGAGCACCCCAGAACTTCAGGGCTCTGGGGCTCTAGACAGTAAATGACAGATACTGTGGCTTTGGAGGTTGATCTGGCAAGAGCTGTCTAACTTCAGGGCTGTTCTCTGTTGATGAAATCTGTTCCTGCCCGCAGTGTCAGGCCTGCCCTTCCCCATGCACTTCCCTGCCCAGCTTCCCATGCCTGCACCTTTTGGCTTGTCATCATACAGCCTGTCTGCTTTCTACACTTGCCTCCAGGGCCTTCCTACACCCTGGGGCTGAGGCATGCCACTTCCAGGCAACCTGACCTAAGGCTGTTCCCAGTTCTCCTGCCCCAGGGAAGCTGTTTTTAAAGATAAGTTTTCTCTCTAGGCAGTGCCTGACCACTGAGTCATACAGAGTGACACCATGGGATTTCTCATTGACTCACCACTATACTATAGCTTTGGGCTAGTCCTGAGGATGAGAACTGTCTCTGTACTTTTTTCAGGGTATGTGCTTTCCACATCCCTCTGCGTGACTGAGCTTGGCATGCTCATCGTTGGTGCACCACCATCTTCTTCTCTGCACTTTTACAGTATCGTTTTGCTTCGAGGATTTCCAAAGCTCTTTCTTTTTCTCTTTGAAATGGCATCTTCTTCCTGTCTCTCTGTCTGTCTGTATCTCTGTATGTCTCTGTCTCTCTCTCTGTCTCTCTCTCTGTCTCTCTCTCTCTGTGAGTGTGTGTGTGTGTGTGTGTATATGTACATGTTTCCTTTGTATGTGCTCATATGTACCTAATACGTGTATGGAGGCAGAGGTCACTGTGTGATAACTTTCTCTATCACTGCCCACCTTATTTTTTGAGACAGGGTTTCTTGCTGAACCTGGAGCTCACCGATTCAGGTAGGCTGGCTGGTCAGCAAGCTCCCAGCATCCTTGTGCTTCCACCCCACCCCAAGCACATGTAAATAAAATGATCTGTGCACTCATAATGAATAAAAAGTGCTAATTTATAAAATTTCACAGAATGAATTCAATTAGTTTAAGACCATTTTGTCAGTGGAGCCCCCTGGTGTATACTGAGACAAGAAACTAGGCAGAAATAGAAAAAGAGTTTATAGCTCCTAGGAGATCCTTAATTTTGAATTTGTTGATTTCAGAGGCCATAAAACACTAACTGCATTATTGAATTAGCATGTGTTCTACATTTAATGGCATTCCAATCATTTCTAGAATACATTAACTGAAGCATAGATCCCTTGACTATATGGAGGAAGATTTATTCTTTATAGTATTTCAAAAAAGATATATAAAAGCTCATCTTTTGTACAGTTGAATTCTGACTTTTTTTTTTTTTTTTTTTTTTTTTTTTTTGTCTTTTTGAGATAGGGTCTCCCCGTAGCCCCAGCTGGCCTGGAACTCACTATGTAGACCAGGCTGGCCTTGAACTCAAAGAGATCCGCCAGCCTCTGCCTCCCAAGTGCTGGGACTACAGGCGTGCTCCACCACGCCCAGCAAATTTCCGACTTTTTTTACAAGCCAGTTTTGTCAAATAAAATATGACTACGCTAGTCAAAAGCCAGACTTCTCACGTGACTGCTATTGTGAAGAACGAATACAAAGCTGAAAATTCTGAAGAGAAAAATAAAAAAAAGAATAAAACTAGAGGGTGGGGGAGTACTCAGTAAAGTGCTTGCTTTGGGAACACAAAAACCTGAGTTCAATCTCCAGAATCCATGTAAAAATGCCAGACATAGAGATGCTGGCTTGTAATCCCAGCGATGGGAGGAGCAAACAGCACCAGGCTTCCGGCCAGCCAGCCAAATGGGTGAGCCACAGGCTAAGGAGAAACCCTGTCTGAAAGGAGCTAGGTGGCATTCCTGAGGATGACACTTGAGGTTGTCCTCCACCACCACAGACATGAGCACACATGTGCACTCACAAACACAGGCACACACATACTCATGCTTAAAAAGTAAAGCTTTTAGTCGGGCGTGGTGGCACACGCCTTTAATCCCAGGACTTGGGAGACAGAGGCAGGTGGATCTCTGTGAGTTCAAGGCCAGCCTGGTCTACATAGTGAGTTTCAGGACAGCTGGGGCTACAGGGAGACCCTGTCTCAAAAAGACCAAAAAAAAAAAAAAGTAAAGCTTTTATCAGAAATAATTTTAGGAAAAATATTCCCATTTTTTTCCCTTGAGGCTATCAATTTTCAGACTATTGATTTTCATTTTCATCCAAGCTTGTGCTGTGAGCTTAGTTCCACAGTGCTCAGAACTCAGCATGCACATAGGTGATACTCTAAACAAGCTCTGTGGGGCTGGAGAGATGGCTTGGTGGTTAAGAGACTGGCTGCTCTTACAGAGGACCAAGGTTCAGTTCCCAGCACCCACATGGTTCCTGACAACCTTCCAAACTCCAGTTCTAGGGTCTCTGACACCTTCTGGCCTCTGCAGGTATTGTACAACATGGGTGCACTTACACATAGGCAGGCATACACTCATACACATAAAAAATTTTTTTAAAGTTCTGTGACAGACAGTGGAGCAAATAACTGGCCCAGTGGGACTGAGCAGACAGTGGAAGACAGGATTTGGTTTCTGTACAGTGTGCTTCATCACTGGCCCAGGCCTGGGGGTGGGGGGGGTGCTAGTTTGCTCCTCACTGGCCCAGGCCTGGAGCGGGGGTGCTAGTGTGCTCCTCACTGGCCCAGGCCCGGGGGGGTGTGGTAGTGTGCTCTGTCACTGGCCCAGGCCTGGGGGTGGGGAGCTGCTAATGTGCTCCTTACTGGCCCAGGCCTGGGGGGCTGTGCTAGTGTGCTCTGTCACTGGCCCAGGCCTGGGGGGGGGGGGGTGCTGTTGTTTCTACAGTTACTTTCTGTGGTGTTCCTCACTTGTTGACACTCTGTCCCTAGTGCGGCTTCTCTACCATTCACCGTCCCTTTGCAGTGAACTTTGTATTTTAAGCTTTTCTTCCCATCTGCAGGGGCTGAAAAAGAACTGGGAGGAGGTGCACAGAGAGTTCCAGTCCCTCTCAGTCTTCATAGACTCCATACCCAAAAAGATCCACAAGCAGAGGCTGGAGGAGGAGATGAAGCAGCTGGAGCATGACATTGGTGTCCTGGAGAAGCACAAAGTCATCTACATAGCCAACAAATAAATGGTGCAGAGAGCTCAGTGGAGAGGAGACCGGACAGCCTGGTGACCGACCTGCTTTCAGAGAGGACTGTGAAGAGAATAAATGCACTGGGCAGTTCTTAAAGAATAACTGGATTATTCATTGTATAAGAAGAGGCTTTTTTTAAACCAGTGTCACATTTTTACATGTAAACAGATCGTTAACGTTTGAAGCTGTGTCCTGGGCTTTTATGGTGTGATGTAAATCATTATTATTCTGTACTTGTTTCACACGCAGTAATTTCTGGACCTTGAAAAATATAATCAGTACTTAGAACTTCATTCTTTTTCTGCACCAATACAAAGAGCACAGTTAAAAAAAAAACTTTTCTTTAAAAGTTTTTTATTTATTTAATGTGTATGAGTGTTTTGCCTACATGTATGTAGGTGTACCACATGTGTTTAATGTCCTCAGAGGCCAGAAGAGGGGGTCAGATCCCCCAGAACTAGAGTTATAGACAATTGTGAGCCACCATGTGGGTGCTGGGAACTGAACCCAGGTCTTCTGCAAGAGCAGCCAGTGCTCTTAATCACTGAGCCATCTCTTCAGTCCCCAAAACTAAGTCTTCATTCAGAAATAAGCATGTAATTCCTATATGTTGTTTCCAAATTCCAGAGATTTGAAACATATATTCTTAGATGCCTTGTTTTATTTGTAGTTATTCCCAACTATAAATATCTTCAGTGTTCATAACAGTACATGATGAGAGGCTTATATTTAAAGGAAGAAAAGTTGACAGTTTTATGAAAGGTGCTAGTAGGCATGTTACCTGCCTGACAGACTAGCTTTAAGGCCAGGCATGTAGTTCAGCAATGGAGTGCTTAAAAAGTTTGTACGGGGACCTGGCATTGATTCCCAACACAGCCCAAAAAGGGGAAAAGATTAACACGAACAAAACAAAACCTAAAGTTCCAATATACATAGCTAAAGAACTTCACCACTCTGCTTTACTCCGTAACTCACTGCGACTATTTCACTAAACTCAGGTTTGTTACCTTTTGGATCCTATGTACCAATTTTATGAGTTCTAAAGTTACTTTTTGTAAGATAATATAACAAGCAATAGATTTATGTAAGTAGAGAGGTCTTCAACTCAAGAAAGCCATCTATACATATCAAAGAAAAGACTTTTCATGAAATTTTTAAAATATTCCATTATTTTTATTTTATGTGTATGAGTGTGTTGCCTGAATGTGTGTAAGTGTACCTGTGTTGTGCAGTGCCCATGGAAGACAGAAGGCATCAGATCCCCTTGAACTGGAGTTACAGTTAGTTGCCATGTGGTACCAGGAATCGAACCCAGGTCCTCTGCAAGAGTGGTCAGTGCTCTTAACCACTGAGCCATCTCTCCAGCCCTGAACATTCTTCTTCATTCTTTTATTAGGAATAAAGGACAGTGCATGAGAAATACAAAAGATGATATATGATAAAGTCTCACTTGTCCATAATGATTGGTTACCATTTAGGGTAAGCTAACAGTTACCCCAATATACCCCAATAAACCCCAAAGGTATTGCCAAATAACTGTAATAGGAACTCACTCCTGATTCCATACTTTTACTGTGCGGGAAACAGGTCAATGGGGACCCTCTTCCATACACTCAGACTCAGATTTATGGAGTCTGTGAGCTCTGTCCTCTCCAGACCTGGAAAAGGCCGTGAACTGCTCAGGCCTAGAAATACTGCACATTATTCCAGACTGCATTGTCTGAATAAGCAACTCCAAGTGCTAAGACAAACCAACTCCACATCTTAGTTGCTTCCTTAAATAAAGATAAGTTTCTCGTTGACATCACTCTGTGAGAGAGGGAGGAGGCACTCTTTTGTCCAGTGGCCTCTTGTTACCTGTGTGTTACCACCAGCCTTCCCTGCCAGGGTTAAGGCTAAGATGTTTGGGTTAGTATTTTCTTTGTGAATTGCTTTCCACCCATCCTCATTTTTTAAATAATTCAAAATCAGTAGCAATGTAAAAACATCCTAATTATTTCAGCCTTATGAATGTTACACTCTGGACTCATGAGTTGGAGTAGTTTTAAATGTTAAAATACTAACTCTGGTTTTTAATAGGGTTTGTTGCTGTGCTTGCTTTGTGTGTGTTCATTTAAAACATGCAGATGTCTGTCCATGATGCCACAATGTCTCCGATGGACTTCCCTGCCTGTCTCACACAGCCTTCCTTAGGAAACTTTGCCACCATTGTGCTTGCAAAGGGCATCCCTGCCATGGACTCAACTTGGAATAGCTCTTCAGTCTCTCTGCACACACATTCTTGTCCACCCCATCTGACTCAGATGGCCAGTGACTAGTTAGAGTCCCCCAATCAAGAAACTCCAATGGACTCATATGAACATTTAAAAATTGCCCTATTCTGACTTTTTTCTAGTTCCTTGTCTAGAACTTGTAATGCTAATTACTCTTGCCTTTACTTCTCCTTCACATCTCCTATTCATGATTCAAGGACTTTCTTCTCCCCTTAGAGACAAGAGTTATGCAATTTGGGAGTCTTTTAGATAGACCCACTGAAGGGGTACTCCAATTGCCTCACCCTGCATCCCTGTTCAGCATAGAAGAAGCCAGAGCTGTCTGCATCCCTATTCCCTATTGGCAATTTGGGTAACCTCTTCAGAGGATGGTGTGATAAGAATAGGAGGTAGGAATTGGCTAGGCAGTTATGGTAAAAAGACTCCAAGGAAATGTAGCCAGTTTCTTGGATACAAGTCAAAATGTCCTTGGGCCTGTTAGCAACATACTCTGTTCCAAAGGCCAAAAATGTCAAAAGTATTTGGGAGCTTGTATGTAATCCTTAAAAGATTTTAGGATTACCTCTTCAGAGGGGGGGAATATTGGAGGAGGGAGTGGGCATGGATTTGATCAAAGCACCTTATATGCATGTATGAAATTCTCAAAGTTTTTGTAAAATTTAAAAAAAAAGAGAGAGAGACTCAGACACTCTGACCACTGAGGGTAGACACTGCTTAAGCCGACTCCATTATTGCAGCTGGACTGGCTGCATTCCTGCTCAAGATGGAGGAGCATAAAAGTCAGCTGCTCAGACCCTCTGCTAGGACTTCTTGAAACACTTGCTTTTCTAACCTCTCAGATCAGTAGTCACGGTCCCCTCTGCAGAAAACTACACTTTTCCTTCTCACTCTGCTTAGCAAATCCTTAGTCTTCAAGAGTCCATTGCCATTGGGTTCTGTGACACTGATTCCTTAGACTCTGTTATAGCACTGATCCTAACTCACTGTACATATCTGGGTATTTGCTTGTATCCCATGAAACTGAAGCCTTGGGTGGTGGAGAACTGTGTATCTTTTCATTTTCATTCTTTTAGAATCTATAGAAGGTCCTCAAAAATTCTTTACCGAGGGCTGTTGAGATGACTTAGCGGCTAATGGTGCTTGTCTCCAAGCCAGATGGCCTGAGTTCAATCCCCAGGACCCACATGATGGAAAGAGAGAGTTGATTCCCACCGATGTCCTTGATCTCCACACATGCACCATGGCACATGTATGTATATACACATATACATACATATACATCAAGTAAATATGATATGTCTCCACATGTTTTTTAGCCATTGGCTTTACTTTTGTGAATTAGATTTTGGGAATAGAGATTATTTTTGCTACTAAGTAAACTAGTTGATACTGCATCAACAGTTACAAGCCAACATTGCAATGCTGAAGAGTTCAAGGCCTAAAGTCAGGCAGGCTCTGCAACTCAGCTCAGCCCCATACTGTGTTCTGAACCCCTTCTAAGCCGCATCTGCCTTCAGTAACATGGGATCAAGAGCACAACTCTGTTTTGCAGAGCTGTTATGGAGATGTATGTGCATGATGGCATAATTCCTGTCCTGTGGAAAGACGGTGACATCGCTACTGAGCTTTCTTAGGAGAACTTTCTGCCATTTCTTTTCTATTTTTGTCCAGGTGGTGTGGGACCATTCACAGACTGTAAGTAGAATTTCTCTGACCCAGGCAATGTGGTTCAGTGAAACACCTGACTGGAAAGGCTAGAAGTGCTGATTAGCCCAGCCTGGTATATCTCCTAAGTGGCTCATGCAGATAACAGCTGTTATCTGCATCTATCTTTAGTAACTGGCCAAAGTTTGGCAATGCTTTCTAAGTTACTTGGTATAGACATTCCAAAAAGAAAGATAAGTTTGAGTCAGTAATGGTGCCAAAGAGGCACTGAGACAAAAGGTCTGCAGGACTGTCCCCAGTAAAGCCCATCCTATGGGCTAGTGAGATGGCTCACTGGGTACAGGGGCTTGCTGCCAAGCCCAACAACCTGAATTTAAGTCTTAGGACCCACATGTAGAAGGAGAGAACTCCAGAAAGAATGTTATGTAAGGCAAAAACAGTCGCTCAATTTTAGGTCTTTGGGGATGAAAACTTCCTAATAATAGTTTTCGACCACAAAATATTCTTCAATCTAAATACTTTAAATACATGATATCTTCGAGAGATAAGCGCTAAAAAATGTAGATAGCAAGAAAAGAGAAGACGGGAGGAAGAAAGGGACGGCAGAGACAAACGAAAGGACGGAAAGGCATGTATGGCCTTTCACCCACAGTTACAGAGCTCTGCTGCCATCCCGCCACATCACTGCACACCCACACCAGCTGGAGCCAGCAAAACAGAGCCACGATTTCATATAAAACTATTTTGATGAGGTTAGCGAGTGATTCAGTGGGTAAATGCATTTGCAGTGAATGTTTGACAACCTGAGTTCAATCCCCAGAACCACAGTGGAAGGAGAGAATTGGCTCCCAAAAGTTGTTCTCTGACTGCCACACTTGTGCACCTGTGAACACACACACACACACACACACACACACACACATACTAATATAACATTTTTTTTAAATGTGCTGAATGAGGTCAAAGATAGTAGCTTTGTTTTTTTGGTTTTTTCTCTTCCACATGAGCTGCCCAGTGAAGAAGACAATAGCAGCAGTGTGGGTGGACGTCAGCTGGTTTTACTACTTTTTAATTTAATTTGCTTATCTTTCTTTTATGAGTGGTTTGCTTGCATGTATGTAAGTACACATGCATGCAGTGCCAGAAGAGGCCAGAAGAGGGAATCAGAGCTCCTAGAATTTGAGTTAAAGACAGTTGTTAGCCACCATGTGGGAGCTGGGAACCAAACCCAGGTCCTCTGCAGGAGCAGCCAGTGCTCATAACTGCTGAGCCATCTCTCCAGCCCCATATGTTTAAATCTGCATATGCAAATATGACCTTGATGCATACGTTTTACTCTAAAGGTCGCAGCATAGAAATGAGACTTGGTAGGTAATGTGTATGTTGTTCAAAATGGTGTACCTTTAGCACTCAGGAGAGTGTGACCCATGAAGCGAGGTAGTCACTTAAATAAATGACCCCGATGATGTGGAAAACACCTGTGGAATTGTTGGCAGTAAAAATGAATATCCATACCCAGGGCTGGAGAGAGGACTCAATGGCACTGACTGTTATTTCAGAGGACTTGGGTTTGATTCCCAGTACTCACATGGTGGGTAACAACCATCCATAACTCCAATTCCAAGGAATCTGACACCTTCTTCTGACCTCCAAGTGCATTGCATGACATGGATGCACTTACATACATGCAGGCAGTATGCTCATACACATAAAATAAAAATAATAAAATAAATTAAAAAAAATATCCATCCCTTATGATGACACACACCTTTAGTCCCAACATTCAGGAGGCAGAGGCAGGCGGATCTCTATGAGTTCAAGGCTAGCCTGGTCTACATAGTGAGTTCCAGGTTAGCTGGGGCTACAAGGAGACCCTGTCTCAAAAAGGAAAAAAAGAAGATGATAGATAGATAGATAGATAGATAGATAGATAGATAGATAGATAGATGATAGATAGATAGATAGATAGATGATAGATAGATAGATGATAGCTATATATATATCTATATATATGTAGATAGATAGAGCTATATCCATCCCACTCCTAAAACTCTTATCTCTGAGTTCTCCTTTCCTGACACATCAGTATGCTCATTTTGTGAAAATAAATGTGCATATCTACACACGTGTGCACACATGTTATAACCTATATTCCTTTAATCTCTGTATGAGTTCTAATGATAGTGTAAAATCATATTTGCCTTTTCCAGTTGGTA